ACTGTAAAAACACAGCACAGCTCGGCCTCATTGTCTGCGTGACGCGTTGAGAAAACTATGCGGAAGAAGAAAGCCGTACGGATGTAGGACTGATGACGAGTAGCTTACAGCCACCCAAAATCGAGAAAGTGATGTTTCTCCTTTTTTTTTTTTTTACACGCAATTTGTGCTTTGTGTACTCGTTTGTCGAAATATGCATAACTTATGCGCATCGTTTTGCAAAATACCGCGTTTCCCCTTCGAAAGACAAGCTTCTCGCATAACTTGGCTGGACATTCTTCTTGTTACAGCGGAGGAGGAGAATAAAAATTAACGATGCCCAATCGGTGCCGCGTGTCCAACATCTGGTGTGCCCATTGTTTCCCTTCTACGAAGAAAAAAAAAGAAAAAAAAAAAAAAAAATACAAGCACACGAGAATGAGACGTCACGGGGTTGCGAGCGGCGGGCGACTTGTGTTCCGCGTCAACACCCCGGGACAATGCGAGTACTACAGAGACGAGCCGACGAGAAACGAGATCGGCACCTCCGCGAGAGTGACGAGAGTCGCGCCACGTGCGCCTACTTCCGGGGACGCGCTAGAGGAGCGTAATCATCGGTCCTCTTCTTCCCCTATACGGAGGACCCTCCCGCCGGGGGCTCGAAAGAAAAAAAAAATGACAACTCCCTCGCATCGGGGAGCCTCAGCGGTGGTTCTCGTTCGTTATGATCTTGTGCGATTGTGCGCGGGGCTGGGAAAAGGCCCTCGTTTCTCTTTTCAGCCGCGCGGAGGGAACGTCGACTGGTCTTACGCGCGCGCGTGCCCGTTTTCCGAACGCACCTTTTGGTATGCCAGGTATTTCAGGCATTCCCCCCGCCCCTGCGCTCCACTCACTCGAGGGGGGACTCTACGCGGCGGGTGCGCGTTTACCCGGGGGGGAGGGATTATTTTTGCAAAGGTGAAATCATCGAGCGTCTCTGCGTCTCTCCTTGGAATTTATTACCCTACCGGCGCTTATGGTCATTTTCTTTCGTAGGGGCTCCTTTGAACACAACTTTCGTTTTAGGTCTGGATGCTCGCGATGCACCTGATGTAGTTGCTTGTAGAGTCTCGTTTTATGCAGTGGAAACAACAATCATACTCCATGGATTATTCGTTTGGGTGTTTCATGTTCTATTTTTCAAGAAAACGTGAGTGTAAAATTGGTAACTATACAGCGAGTCGTATAGAGTATACGCTAAACACGTAACGTTTAACAAGAAAATCTATTTGGATTTGTTTTCGGGGAGTGAAATGATAGTCATGAAACCGAGTCGTGAGCCAGCGATGCCTCATCCATTTTGTTTACCTTTCCTGTACTGCATCGAATAAACTTATTTGGCTCGCGATTAATGTGCAAGGACTGTCTCTTTTTCCTGCAAACTTTTACGTATGAGATAAAAGAAAAAAAATAATAATAAAACAAACCAACAGCAGTAGAAGTAACAAAAACTTCCGCATCTCTCCTATAGTTAGCAAGTGAGAAAAAAGGAAAAGGGCGGTAAAAAAATTAGCAATGAGCGCGGTGTGGCGGTCGGATTTGGAAATGACCATTAAAGAGAAGTTCCGGAACGCCCGTGAAAGTTCGGCTTCTTAGCTGGAATTAAAAATTGTTCGCAACTCGTCTCACTGCGAAGGAAAAAAGAAAAGGAAAGGAGCAAACTGAGGGAAACAGAGAGAGCCGAAGAATTTCCTAGAGTTGAAGCTCCTACGGTGCTTTCCCTGCATTCTTACCAGAGTATATTTCCCCCCAAACGAGGTCGCGTGCCCGAGTTCCAAGCTCGACTTTGGATTTGAATTGGAAAAGCGCCGGGACGGAAATCGATGGGTTATACACTCGCGAGATACATAAAACCAAAGGGCGGGGGAAAAATTGCGAGCCCATCCTCTCGGTTGCTTTGTATATACATACAGATGAGCGGAGGGGGGCACATAAATTTCAAGTCGATCTTCGCGAAAAATCCGACAAAAATCCCACTGCTGGAACTTTTATTATAGCGCAGACTTGTCGCCTCATCCGCTTTTCTATTTCTCCTCCTCCCGGCTCGAAAAATTGCGCAATCATGCCTCAGAAATCTATGGATACCCTACTTTTTTTACCCTCGTTTGCGCACAGGTGCACTTTTACGTCCACCCCTCCCTAATTGTTTATTATTCGTTTTACCGCCGAGGACTGCACTGTAAAATCCAAGTGTGTTAAAGCACACGTTTAAAGTGTGTAGTTGAAATTTATATTTTTTTTGAAAAACACGATAACGTAGTGTTAATAAATTGTTCAAGAACAACCAAATCGATGCTTCGTAAACTGTTTCACCTATTGTATTGAAGTAAACTATTGTTTTTCTTTAACGATTGGCATAAGAAGGCTGTAGAGAGTGAAAAATTTCTGTCACATATTTTACACACTTGTGAGCGCGTTAAAGCTCAAACAGCCAAGTTTTTTCACTCCACAGCTTTCCTACATTGGGTTTTTCCATTCAAAATTGTCCAATTTAATGGAACTGGTTAACCACTCGGTGAATCATAGCTTTGGCTGTTCTTATAATTATTATCCACGCTACCGCGATGTATTTTATAAAAAACTAAAATTTCAGTTACACACTTAACGTGTATGTCTAACACGCTTGGATTTACGTGTGATCCTCGTACTTTCGGAAATTCAATAAATTCTCCTCTTTACCAATCCACTTGAAAATGCAATTAAAAACAAAAAAGATGAAGCGTATCTTTTCTCTCGGGGAGTCATTATTTCAACAACGCAACTAGTTTGATAAACACCAGTTAATCACCCAGACTATAACGAGAGGGATGCGAAAAATGAGCCTGAGAAAAGTAGTCATATGAATCATAAAGGGGGAGGGGGAGGGGGGCAAATATAAGCAAAGTTTAACGGGGCGTCAAGCGTCCCTGCGATGCTATCGCTCGGTGGCTCTAATTGAAATTAAATGAAACTTCCCGCTTCGGAGAGTACGTGGGTATCGCTTCGTTAAAAGTCGCGTTAATTGAAAAAGTACCATCGGAGGAGGGTCGGGTAAGCTAATCCGCTGCCCCGTCCCTTACCTCGGCTCGCTTGGAGATGATAATTAGCCGAGCTTGCGCCAGTAGTTGTGACTCGGTGGTATTTATACCCAGAGTCCGCGATTATTGCCACCCTCTCTCTTTGTATTCGGGCTTTCCTCCGATGGATTTTGTTTTCATCGGCCGGTGCTGGTGTACGTGGTTGACAAAAAATACCGCACCTTCGGAAATGCGGGTACATTACCATAAAACCACGCACATTTGACTTTGACGTGGTGCTAAAAAAAGGTACGCACACCTGCGATAAAAAAGCAGGGTTTACGGCAACCTCTGTATATGAAGCGTATCAAGAGCTCACGGCTGACCACCACCTACGTGTAACACCGTGGATATTTATGCGTCGCGCTCAAGCGCACTCGGCTCGAGATATATTTAGCACCGGGAGCACACGCGTGGAGGGAAGGGTTGCAGCGAAAATTCCCCGGTGGACGGGACGCATTCGGTGTTCGATTTACGCCGCTATTGCGAATTACAGGGTGTACACCTTGACTCCCTGCCGAGACCTGCCAGCGGGTGGTAATCGCAATGGGTATATACTTAGCTTTCTTTAACTTGGATCCGAGAAAATTTATCGCATCTAACGTTTTTATTCGACTCCCGACCCGCATCATCATTGTGTATCTTTCGTCTCTTCTTTTCTCAAGTCAAACTAACCCAAATTCTCGAGTGTGCAGCTGCGGCAAATTAAGCGCATCAGAACAAATAATTCAACTCCTGACTCTTGGGTAACGAAAGGGAGACCAAAGTCAAACTGCTACTAGAAAGTTGGCGACTTTATCAATCATAATTTATGCCCACATAGTGCTTTGTCCACAGATAGCTGTTAGTTATGTTTACACACGTATCTGTATACAAGGTGACCAGGGGTTGTTCGCCTGATGTCACCAGACAGCATGTACAGTTGCTTCAATTGCTAACAATATTGCTAAACTTTTCAATTGATTTGTATATACTGCCATGTTATGAAAAGCATACGGTGATTGCGACTACCGCGATGCATTGTCTCTGCGATTATACTGCGAAAAATACAACTATATGTACATTGTAATGTATATAATATCCTCATAGAGCTTATAACTCAAATTTTTGTTTCATTAAATATTAATCGACTTTTCAAGATAACCGCATTCGTGTACGTATATGTGTACACGTGACTGCTGCTGAGCCTACAGAGTAAGCTCGATTCGTCCATTTGTAGAATCGATTCTCTCCGGCTCACTGGGTTTTAAACTCGACTGTAATACCTTTTTTTTTTGTTGCTTTAATCTCGCTTCGTTGGCTGTTTTTGTGCAGATGTATTGAAGAAGGATAAAAAAGTTACTTTTACAAAATAGCAAAATATTCGTCGTATTAAAATTGCGTCAGAAGCTTTACAGGCACCAATTTTTCAATGAAATCGATCGTCTACATGTCATAGCTTTACCGGTTTCAGCATAACGAGCGGAATTCTCTCAGGTACTGATAAAATTTCTTGTTTCTCATCATTGTATACTTTCATCACTATGTTTTATCAGACTATTACAATTTATTAAATTATGACAAAAGGTATTATTGAGAATAATGAAAAAAAGTTCATGAGCTATCACAATTCAAATGGTTCAAGTTCATAAAAATATTCCGAACAAAGTGTTCTCGGCTAAAATAAGCACCTATGTTCTGAATTGTACCACCAAAAAATTTCATTATTTTATTTTCAACTATAGTTTTTACAGTTCAGTGGTGTAAATACGACGGGTCTCTTAAAGCATACAAAATTTATGCTCGTACCAAAAATTATGACAAAAAGGGTATCATTGTGAGTTCCAACTCAGAAAAATAGTAAAAGTGTACGGTGCATTAATAATCTACGTATTATTTATCTCAGTTTTCAACGAAAAAAGTTAATGATGGCTGGGCTCAACTCACCTGCTCTGGGGACTCGGTGATGAAGGAGTGGCAGTACTGGACGCTGAAGTGGGCCCTTGGCTCGCGCGCCAGGAAGCTGAACTGGCCGTGGCGCGGCTCACACGTGGCGTACGAGATGCGCCTCAACGCGTGGGCCATCTGCACCCGCTGAAACAATCATCAAAAAAATGGGACCTTCGTTTGAGACGCGTCTTGTTAGATGAATTATTTAACATTTGAAAGATTATCTTTTCCAACGTCTCAATGAAAAGTAAGATTGCTTAAAAAGACCAAATTTTTTAAAAGAGGGAAAAGCCTAAATGAAATTTTCTCGGTCTGCCTCAAAAGTTTCAAGCATGTCTAGCAGATAAGTTCTCATCTTCCTGCATAAAGGGATATAAGGTTAGCTCGGATTTCAGAAAACAATTCAGATTTTCCTGTAAGCTAACAAAGTCTTGTAGTAAAATTCTCGCAACTTCAATCATTACGCTAATAATACGTCTCATCACGGGGTAACTTGATCAGAAAGAGTGCAAAAATTGCATTTAAAATACTGATGAAAAAAATATTTTTTAAAAAGCAGAAAAAGTAGACAAGGTATGCGATGAACGTGAGTCTAGTATACACATTAAAGCGTACCTTGTAAGATAAGGTGTGCTTACAAGTCGATTATATCGAGGCACGCGACGTAGACTTTGGCCGCTCTGTAGCTTGATGCATATTACGGCTTCTAGCGAGTGATATATTTTTTCTTGGTTAAAGTGCAGAGCCCAAGATTTGCGTGTGTGACGAAATTTAGTATACTATAAGTTTCCTAAAATTTTATCGTTCTGGGTAAACCAAGTAGCTTCTTGTTTATTTCTCATTCTTATTTAGATTTAGTGTATGTAATGGGTCCTCTGACGTTGAATCGATTCGAGATAAAGTTTATGACTTTTTTTTTAAACAAATAATGCAATGTCGTCACAAATACTTGTGATGAAACATTGTTTGCATAATGGTTTCGGTTAAATTGAAAGTTACCACTTCATCTACTTGTCATTGAATACGATTTAGTTTCGGCCAATTTATTTCTAATATATTTATAAGATGTAATAAATCACTAAACTCATTTTATGAAGCAAACTAGAATATCATTATTGTTGCATTTCCCAAAGTTTCCAAAAAATTTTAATACTCATTTATTTTCACGCCAAAATGCGTGTCGCACGAACCATACGACCAGTATCATGATGGACCAGCTGTTTTTTACAGAAAATCACTTGGGGATGACTAACCCTCTGTTTACTCAATTTCGTCCCCAAAAATCAACAACACCCTCGAGACGAGCTCTACCCTCGTGCCCCCGTTCCGAAAAAGTAGCACCTCGCATCTTAAAAAAGTCATATACCTACAAGCATAAAAGCTTTCGTAATTTTTCCTGGGAGAGAAGAGCATCGATTTTTGCGCTTCATCTCCCGCATCTAGTTGCTCTCCCGGTTTCCTCTGGTGTTGTCAGCCCAACGAACCTAACGTGTGCGTATCCACTACTCCTTTTTTCCAATTTTTCTGAGGTTGAAGGAAATGCGCATACGAGCTTAGATCCGCTTTGAGCTCCGTGTTGGAGAGTCAGGAAAAATGGGGATGAAAAAAGTGAAAAATTGGCAGAGGGTAGATACGAGGAAAAGTAAACGCAATAGATAATAGGAAACGGTGCCTCTACGGGGGGTTATCGAGATTTAACGATGTACCATTAAGGGCCCCTCCAAGCGATTTTTCTCTCGTTTTTATATTCATTAAATATAATATTTTATTTTTATAAAAAATATACAAGTAACTGCCTGCGCCCTTATACGAAATAGTCTCTATTGACTTTATTTTGTAAAACTAACAAAATGACTAAAAGCACGAAATTCGAGGCCATCCCCAACCACTGCAGTGTTGAATGTCCAATTTATGGATGATTGACTCAAAAAAGCAAACATGAGATTCACCACAATCGGCCCAATTCCGGTGTATACATGAGCGACGCAGCCGGAGATGATGAGCTGAAATTCTGGTGCGTATCCTCACGCTCGTCTCTAAAAAATAAATAAGAGGCAAGGGATGGAAATATGAGTGCACGTGCGCGAACGCGTACTTTTCCTGGCGCATCGGAGCTCGGGAGGTGCATCATTACGGATAACGGATTTCCTTCGCTGGGGGTAAATAACACCCCTGTACTATACTCCGGGAGCGTATACGTACGTACACGTGCACTTGGAAGAAGAGAAGTGGGTTTTTTCGAGATGCGTTCGTTATTTTCCCTTCAGCTCGAGCAGCAGAGTTAACTTCGTTTCAGCTCACCCTCTCGCTTTTCCTTTATTCTTTTTTCCTACTTTTGAGCTCACGATTTTTGGTGATGGCTACGCGGTGCAGGGGTTGGCTAATGTAGGTGCGGTGGTGAGATGGAAAAGGAAAGCGGAGAGTATAGTGTCGCATCCATTTTCACGTGTAAATAAGAAATGCACGAGCTTTGTACGTAAGCACAGTGCTGGTACGGCTTTTTACGCGTCCCATTTCATCCTCCCACTTTCCCCATCAAGGCTTGTACCCATTATTCCCTTGAATAATAAATGGGCTTAGTTTTTCATTGAAACTGTAAAGAAAAACTACAACAGCTTGCAATAAAATTAGTAAGTGATAAGTCAGTAGTCAATTTTTTTCGTTAAGTTTCTATGGATTATGAAAAATATTTTTTGTTCATTGTCAAGATGATTGAATATCTAAATCACATATTCAAATTTCACAGTTTTATTGGCCCAAAAACTTATAAAATATTGTTGAAAAGAATAATAAAAACTCTCCATTTTAATCTGCGCGTATGCGCAGAAGACAATAAATCATTTTTATCTTATTTTTCTTTAAATCTAAGAGGTTAACGTACAATTTTCACAATTCTAAACATTACTTGTAAAAAAAGGTACAAATACAGTTTTTATTTACAGAGATTTATCATTTACTATTTGAGTTATAGTCATTTTAGTGATAAATCCCATAAGACTGCGTGTTAAATTCTTTAGTTTTTAGTAGTGATTTTCTGAAACATAAAGTGGTTGACCCTAGAATTTTTATCGTAAATTAATTAGGCACACTTTATTTATATAATTTCAAAATTTCAGTGATTATTATAGTTCCAATAAAAATCGCCCAAGCCACCTTAAGTTATAAAGAAAGTAGTAGCAGTGCTCGGTAAAATAGTGCAAAGAGATGCGCCTGCCGGTAGGCTAACCGTCTCTCGGCTGCTCCTTCGTGGAGATGTTGATGCAGGAGTGTTTGCAGCTATATATACATGTATACGCGTGTGAATACTTGATCGGCATAACTCATCCGTGACGCGTAAAAATACCAACAACCCATACCCCTTTGTTCGCGAAGTATGAATGGCATGTAGTTTCTATGATATACGAGTTTTCATTTTACTTGACAAATTTTCCCCAATTAATTTTCACAAGAATTTCTGGCGGATGTTGTGATTACTTAATGGGCCAGGTAAAGATGAAATTTTGTACGAATTATTTGTTTCATTATCATAAAATGTAGAGTTGTAAATTTTCAGTATTACCAGTAGAAGTGGAATGAAAATTAAGTACGTTACAGAAAAAATAACGCTTCGGCGAAAAATTAACATCTTTGAGCAATCATTTGAAAGGAAAAATTAGTATTTCGCACATATCGGGGTTACAGTTTCTCTTGTATTAAGCAAAAAATTTGTCAAGTTTTGCTAAAATCATTAATGAACTTTAAGGTCTCTGACGAACATTTCATAATTTTTTTGTAAAGATGTAAGGTCGATGTCCCAGTACTCGGTCATGTCCCAGTAGTCGGTCATCTGGCTGATTTTTTCACTATTAATTTTCAAAACATATATAAATCGGGTAGCCATTCAGACATAAAGCAATTACTCTTTCAATACAAGTTAATGTATAAACCCAATTGAAAATATAACGAAGGCCCATGAAAGAAAAAAAGTGACCGACTATTGGGACATTTCGTCTGCTTAAGTGAGCGAGTACTGGGACATCCACCTTATCTATAATTATACAAGTAACAAGCGAGTAGTTACTTTAATACACATTGGTGAGTATACGAGACACTACACCTGCATATGACTGTCACCTTTACAGTCCTGATTTTATTTATAACTATTGCACCTTTTGTAAGGGTCTTATTTCACGTACTGATGAAAAACATTCATACAACGAATTTCAATTCCAAAAATATTAACTCAACGGCTTAAAAATCTATACGAACACTCTAGATTTAATGTTCTCCAAATTTGGCAGCAATCAAACAACTAGTATGACAAAGATTCTTCGCAATCCTTCACTCAGTGCAATAGCGTATTTATACATTGCGGGGTCCAACACCTCAGACATGCAGCCCCTCATTGGGGGTCGATGCGGTGGCGAGGAAATCCATGATCGGGCCACAACGCGAGGAGCGCATCATTTGACATACACACTATACGTGGAAAGGAGGGAGGTGGCCCGAGAGTGGCAACTCCATACGTGCGGAAGATACAAATGACGCCACGGACCGGCGACCATCAATAACCCCCGCGCGTCCCCCGTTTCTCTCTCTCTCTCTCTTTCCCTCTGCACATGGAGGGAGTGGGTGTATAATGTGTACAGGGTATCGCACAGTCCCTGCATTCGGTGCTCCCAGGAGGGATCGGGAAATCGTAGCTCGTTCCTCTTGCCAAGGCGAAGTCAACCGGTCCTTTTCTCTCTCACTCGCTCCCTTGGCGTCTCGGATATTCCCTTGTTGTTATTTAATTTGCCTTTGCAAGGACACCTACTGTCTCGGCTGCTGTTGGTACCGAGAGTAATTGCATTTAACGCATCGATGAAAGTGGATTCACTACCTCACTGATCTTGCATTTGTTGGATTCAGTCCATCAGTTTCATTCAACTCGTACTTTGTTGTCTTTGAATAGAGGAGGTCAAAAAATTGCAGAAATACTCACAAATAATAAGACTTGGAGAGAAAAGGACATGAAGGAAGAAAACTAATTAAGTAGACCCAATTAGTCCACAACCAATTCACTCTAAAGCTTTTCAAAAACAATTTCGTCTAAAGAGTCTGTGATTTTTTTCTTACAATTTATTTTTCCGCAGGTACAGCTATGCGGAACGAGGATATGAAGA